TAATCCCTAACGTGTCGTAGCTTAGCTAAGATTTATTCCTACTTAATAATAATTATGAATATGTGCGTAGTTCAATGAAGTGAAATTCATCAACTTAAGTACCAAAGGGAGTTCATTTTCAATGGTTTTAGACCCAACTCTCAACGGTGAAAATATGCGATTCTGACTAACATTTTTTATCGGATTCGTATTTGCTCATTTTTTATCCATTTGGCATGAAGAAGATATCATTCAACAGCTAAAAGCATGATCTTTCCGAATGTGTTAAAATCTCGTTCATACGCAGAGTAATTCGGATACAATAGCGCGCTGAAGTTCGATTACCTTTTTTTTGATACACCCTGTATGTGCAGTAAAATTTGTATAGGTAATATTATGGTTTCAAGTGCAATTTAGAGAAAAAACATGCATGGAGTGAGTTTTTCAAAGACGATCAAAATTGCACGAGTCCGAAGGACGAGTTAATTAGGCCAAATAAAAATAATAGTTGGTTTCAGGTTTCACAGTCATGTTTTATATGGGTAGGTAGGTCGGAAAAACGTTTTATTTAAAAAAATACTTTATCTCAAGTATGCAATAAGTATAAGTTAAAACTCATTATAAACTCTTAGTTTTTATGTTTTTACATCAGGTTTTCACCTGCATACATATAAAACTTGACATGCAAGAAAAGCATAAAGCTCTACTAGGAAATGTCAATAAAATGTTTATGGTCGGTTATATTTTTGACAGGTCGGTCGGAAACCTAAAACCAACTATTATTTTTATTTGGCCTTATTAATAATATACATGAAAAAAATATGGAGTCACATGCGTGCGTAGGTCTGTGATCGGCTCTAGAACATGGGTCTATTTAAGTTGCAGTACAAAAAAAGTTTTTTACAGCCAGTCTCATTCATCAGGCTGAAGTGGTTCTTGGATATTGGTTCTTAATCTACTCTTCTGTGCGGGGTTTTTACTGTATCTTAAATGTCTTTGAATTTATAAAGACAGCATGGACCAAGATTAGATCCTTGTTGAACCCCACATTTCCTATTATTTAAACTTGATAATAATCAATAATTCTTTACCATTGCTTAGCTGCTGGACACTATGCATACATCGAAACATCCTCACCACGAAAACCAAATGATACAGCGAACCTGATCAGTCCCACGCTTGACCAGACACGGAGTGTTGGATGTTTAATTTTCTGGTACCACATGTATGGACCTGATATCAACTCACTCATTATTCTCAAGAAGGTTGGTAATGTTTTCAATTAATGTGATTCTAATTTAATTATTCTAATTGATTCTAATCAATCCTTCATTTGCTCTGAAGAACATTTCTGATTGTATGTCTACTTGACACCTCCAATCACGCTGAATAGTTGTTGTACCAGTTCTAAGCTGTTTTCCGTAGACGTCCAATAAGAGAGATACCTTGTTCTCCAGGACGAAACCTAAACTAAACTAACGTCGTTTATTCTTAGTGGCTCAATCAGTTTTAAACTGTTCTCGCTTGAGATACAGTGTCTATGAGGACCACCAACTATTGGTCCATTGTTACTGCAAGAGGAAAGCTTCATTTATAAACATTACTTTTAATGGCTAGTTGTATCAATTGTATTGTAAACTGTTCTCCCTAGAGGTCTAGTAAGGATCATCTCTTAATGATCCAGTGGTACTACAGTAAGAAACCTAAACTAAACTAACTTTATTTATACTGGATAGCTCCATCAGTTCTAAATTGTTCTTCCTAGAGGTCCAGTAAGGATCTTCTCTTATTGATCCAGTGTTACTACAGGAGGAAACCTAAACTAAACTAACTTTATTTAGAATGGATAGCTCCATCAGTTCTAAATTGTTCTTCCTAGAGGTCTAGTAAGGATCATCTCTTAATGATCCAGTGGTACTACAGCAAGAAACCTAAACTAAACTAACTTTATTTATACTGGATAGCTCCATCAGTTTCAACTTGTTCTTCCTAGAGGTCCAGTAAGGATGATCGCTTATGATCTCCAGTGGTACTACAAGAGGAAACCTAAACTAAACAAATATTTATTCTGGTTTTCTTTTTTCAGGGTGGAACTCAATCGTCTTCACTTTGGAAACGTGTTGGTAGTCAAAGCGACGTTTGGCGTGAAGCGCTTGTATCTCTTCCAAAGGATTCTAGAAAGTACCAGGTATGGGATATATTTTCTTTTCTAGTTTCGATGGTCAGTTCCGTGAGATTGGAAGTGAGGTTTTGGAACAGAGATTATCTTCATTAATATAATTTCGTCCAGTCTTGATGACACCATTATCCAGTCCCAGATTTAATCAAGACCTTATCCAGTAACCTCGTGCAATCTTAATTAGGACTTTAACACCAGTCTTGCTAAATTTAAAATCGTGTTCTCAAGAAGCGAGGAAATCGTATAGTGTAGACCTGATTAAAAGTTTGTCCACTGCTAGGACTTGATCGAAACTTTCAATATTCGTTCCTAGGACTTGATCTAAACTTCACAAGACAATATGACTTGACCATTTCATCCATCATCCAGTCGTAGGACTTCATCAAAACTTCATCTTGCCTTGCGACTTGATCAAACATTATCCGATCCTAGGGCTAGTTGGTTTAAACTTTTTCCTATCCCAGAATATTATCAAGACACCATTTAGTCTTAGTTCCAGCTTGATCATCAACTACGTGTATGGAAATTAACCATTTTTTTTTCAATTTTAGGTCGTGTTTTCAGGAAAGCGAGGAAAGTCGTATAGTGGGGATATAGCAATAGATGACGTTCAATTCACTCAATCCAAATGCCCGGCGCCAGGTAGATTTATCCACATTAAATAAAGTTAGTTAGTGGAACTGTTTCTTATTCATTTCTTATTTCTTTTTCAGCTGAGTGTACTTTTGAAGATTACGATGGAGACGCGACGTGTTTATGGAGGAACCAAATAGATAAATACCAGTGGAAACGTCGAAACCAGGGGACACCAAGCCTTGATACTGGTCCTAGCTTTGATCACACTTTTGGAACAAGCCAAGGTTGGGCATATTGATTTTAGAACCTGTTCATATGAGGCTATGAACGTACCGGGAAACTTGGCGCTATTTATTGCTCTTTTGCCCCAGTGCCTTAATTGTTTCCATGATTTCCTATTTTAGCATGGCAGGTGTGCATGAAAGTTATATCCCCATGTTTCCTGTACAAATATGTTTCTTTTTGATCTTCAGAGCGATCACAAATTTATCATATTTTTTTCTGTGTTGGTGTTGTGTACTCAAGTGAATATGATGGTTGTGATGTTACTCTGAGTGTATATCCACATATATATTTTGACGTCCGACCAAATTTAGTGGTGTTGGTTTTTGTCCGACCAAATTCAAGTTACGTCCGGCCAAAATTAGAAGTGATCGGACAAATGTCCTGTCAAGTCAAATATTTATTTGCACCCCTGCCGGGCAAGCTTGAAAAATATGCCTGGTGGGAATCGAACCTACAACCTTGGGAATACTCGCCCAATGCTCTGCCAACTGAGCTACGCGGTCAGGTCGGTTCGAGTATCTGTTATTTCGGAATATTTTTATCCTTAAACCTATTGTGCACAAAACATGAGGCAGTAGCCACATGAAACAAGGCCATTGGGGAAACATGCGATAAACAGTACAGTTATTTGTTTGCATATTCGAGATGAGCCAGTCCTGAGATTAATCCTAACCAGGACTCCAGGAGGAGCAGCTACGAGTTGGTTCTATCGAACGAGATGCCCAGAATTTTGATATTTACCCGTACATTTTTCTAGGATACTATATGTATATCGAAGCTACTGGACACCAACCCAACGAAACAGCCGAAATCATGAGTTCTTCGTACCCAGCGGCCACCAAGGGTCATTGCTTTAGTCTCTGGTATCATATGTACGGAGCCGATGTCGGAACACTCAATATCTTCCAGGTAGTCAACAACCAGAGATACTTCTTGTGGGGAATGAACGGGAATCGTGGCAACGTTTGGAAAAAGATGCAGATTACTATCAAGAGCAATGCTGGTTACACGGTTGGTTGTGTTTTCAAATCTATATAATAATCTCTTTTCCTATTTTTTCCTACCGTATACTTTTCTGTTTTTGTTTTATTAAAAACCGCTTGCTTTTCCTTCTTTCTCTTATAAAGTCCTACTTTTTCAGGGTGTTAGCGAGAGGATTAACAAATTCGGCAATTTAATTAAATTTGGAATTTCAGTTAGCCTACGACATTCAGACTGGAGTTAAAGAATATCGTGTTTCTTAAGTGACGTTCTCGTGGCCTATAGCGCCAGCTGAGCTAAATTGAGGCTTTTGAAGTGCAAGTCACCTGACATTGTTTTGCGTACTAAAAACAGACAAATACATATTTTAGGCTGCATGATATCCTCGCAACCCTTATCTGGTACCCAATTTTTCTTGAGCAAAATTTTGAAATTGGACAACCATTTATATAATAAAAAGTTACGAAGGCAATTTTGTAAACACCCTTTATTGAAGTTCGTGTTAATGCTTATTTCCATATTTATTGATCAAAATCCAATTTATTGATAAAAAAAAAACTTGAAATTTCTTTCCATTTATGGTGGTCCTAAGTTGAAAACAGTATAGTTGTGACGTAATTATGGGTGTATTGTTTTCAATCAGATATTTTTTCAATTTTCGTTTGAATGTAATAAATAAGTTCGAAATAAATAAGTTGTCAAAACATTAGAAATTAATTAAAATGTTGTCAATATTTAGATTCTAATACAAGGCAAAAGAGGCAAAGGATACCGGAGTGATATAGCTTTTGATGACACCAAACTGGCAAAGGATGGGCCTTGTGGAGCACCAGGTCAGAAAAATAACAATTTTGCCTACTAGAAAAGACAAGTATATTTCAGGCTACATGACAAACTCGCAACACTGGTTTGGTTTCTGAATTGCACTGTTGTTATTTCGCGTACTTACGTACCGGAGGTACGCCAATATTACGGTCTGGTACTTCTTCGTTTTCAATCATGCAAGTACCACGTAGGTACGCGGAACTCTTGCTATCTGCGTACTTACTTTTTGCTGCTACCACATGACCTTTCCAAGTCCAAGGTATTCAATACCGTAATTTAATTGGTACAACATGTGTCTGCGATGTCTTGACATGAAACATGATTTGACTGATGGCATTAAGAAACGTTGGAGTTGATTGTTTGTATATGCAATTGTGCTTCTTTTTCTATCTCGTCTGAACATACTTTTCAGAAACCTGTACTTTATGAACCTTATTCTAATGACTAAGTACACAATGAGTACTGAGCTTGTGCAAGTATGCGGCAACAACCATATCCTCTATTTTCACATGTGAAAAAAATATGTAAAACGCAAATTTTACATGTGAAAATTCTACATTTCAGATACAAATTGAGCATTTTCACGCATGAAATGTTCCAATGCCACATAAAATGCATAAAATTTCAGATGTGACTTTCCGTATAAGGGATACAAAAGTTTCTGCTTTCTTCTTCAAAGGTGAATGTGATTTTGAGAAGGGAACTTGCAGTTACTATAACACGAGACAGGAGGACGACTTTGATTGGATCAGAGGTCAAGGTTCTACATGGAGTTATAAAACTGGGCCATCGGTTGATCACACTTTGGGAACTAAATTAGGTAATCACTGATATTTTCTTCATTTGCTGCATATATGTAAACTACAGACGGTACCGTTTCGGCCTTATGGGCCTCATCAGTGTAGTGCTGATGAGCAGGATGAAAGTAACTGCTATTTACAGTTACCTTTGATGCCTCACGATTGTGGGACATCAAAACCATGCCAGAGCGCTCAAACTGCAAGCAGTGAGCGTGCGTGTATATATATATATATATATATATACATACATATATCAAACTCATTTTGAATGATTCATGAGTAAATACTGGATATCTAGTGAAGTATATTTATTCAGTCCTAGGACTGAATCGAAATTAATTCACCTCACTTTAAGTTGTCATTTAATCGTATGGGATGTCACGTCAAATCCTCCAATTCAGACTGGACTAGATTTCAAGTCCTCGCATTTTGTCCTAGTCCTCGGCTTCGCCTCTGATTTGATCAAATTGAGCGGACATTAAATCGAGTCCAGCCCTCGTAGTCGGATTTGAAACATTACATTATGTGTTTTAAATTTAAGCTACTCATGACAAACGAGAAAGCAGTTCGTCACTAATGTGTCTTGCCAACAATAAACTTACTTGAATGAGAAGTGAGCACATTTGTGAACAATTTTTTATTTTATGTTGGGGCTTTTTAAATTAAAATTCATGATTTTGGATCCAAATGGGATCTATTTTCAATAATTGGGAAAATGGCAATTTTTATTCGACTCGTATTTGGTCATTTTCCTTTATACTGATACAAAAGAGATATCATTGGACAACTAAAAGCCTGAATTTTATTCCTGTGTAAAAATGCTATCGATAAACGCATTCGACCGTGCTGAAGTTGGATTGCCTTCTTTTTATACACCTTCTTTGTATATTGACCACAAACATGTAATGTATTTCTAGGAAGCTACATGTACATCGATGCATCGTACCCTAACGCGAAAGGCCATAAAGCACGACTCGTAAGTCAAGATCTTCAGTCGAGCTCTTCATCAAAATGTCTAAAGTTTTGGTACCATCTTTATGGAGCATCCATCGGGAAATTGAACGTGTACATGAAGACAGGGCCTGGGAACAAGTCCGAGGAGTTAGTCTGGACATTTGGCGGGAATTTTGGTGACCAATGGTTGAGCGCGCAGACGCCCGTACAAAACAAGAAAGTGTTCCAGGTATTAGACAATTCCCGTTATGGACTAATTTTAAAACTAGGCAAGGAGATGCAAATAAATCACCACAGCTAGAAAGAGCATACTAAAATTAAAAATACTAAAATTAAATATTAAAATTAATACTAAAATTAAAAATGTAAAATGCGGAAAATGTAGCCTTGCAAAGTTTGCAAATTTTGTACACCCTTTTATTGCGTGCGGAAATTGCTGCCATTTTCGGCCCAAATGTGGTAGCAATTTCCGCACGTAATACAAAAGTATACAAAATTTGCGAACTTTGTAAGGCTACATTTTCCGCATTTTACAACATTTCGCAACCAGACTTTGCAATTTTACTCATTTTAGTATCCTCTTTTCGGGAATATACTTTTTTGCCAAGATAAAAAATCTAAAGGTAGCACTTTCTCCTCAATATATTTTAAGACCTTGAGAAGAGGTCCGACCAAGAATTGAACCCAGTTCTCCCTGCTTGAAAGGCGAGCATTGTGACCACGCCCCCCCCAGAATTCGCGGGCCCCGGGGGAAAATCTTCCATGGGGTGCCATGACATTATTTTTAAGCCAGACCTTAGCTAGACTGCCTGTTTTTTTGGAGGGTTTTTTTTTACAATCTTTGTCAAATAAATGACAGGTTATACCCACAGAGCAGAACACTCCTTTACGGGTAACCTTAAAATGTGAAGCCACTGTGAGTGGCCCTCCATTTAAAAAATGCTCTGACCAAGTTAAAGAACCTACTCAATTTTAGGCTCTTGCTCTGAAGTTGGGGCCCTATTAAGGTGGGGGCCCGGGGCAATTTGCCCCCCCCCCCTGCCGCCCCCCCCCCTCCTCGCGGCGGCCCTGGACACCACAAGAGGAATAATTGGAATAATGTTTTGGTAAAAATGCTCGCCTGCAGATCCTAGGCTGCCGCATGTAAGTCAAGGACCTGCCCTACGACATGTAAATTTTGCATTCAGGTTGTATTCGAAGGTGTTTGTGGAAGCAGTTACCAAGGTGATATTGCGATCGACGACATCACCATCCTGAACTCCCCCTGTAGTACCCTCCCTGCCGCAGCCATCCCCCCTACTGTGCCACCCACCCCTCCAATGCCAGTGAATTGCACTTTTGAAAGAGGCTTGTGTAACTGGAATAACTTGAAAACGGGAGATGACTTTGATTGGACTAGACATCGGGGCGGGACGTATTCTAGCAACACTGGCCCGAGCATCGATCATACTACCAATTCCTACCGAGGTAATAAAAGATTGTATATGAATATGTTATTGTATATTATGTCCTACCACGGAGGTTTAGAGAGAATGGATGGGCCTTACTGGGTCTCTAGGGAGAACAGTTTGGAACTGATAGAGCTATCCAGTATAAATAAAGTTTAGTTTAGGTTTCCTCCTGTACTAACACTGGATCAATAAGAGATGATCCTTAGTGGATCTCTAGGGAGAACAGTTTAGAACTGATAAAGATATCCAGTATTAGTAACACTGGATCAATAAGAGATGATCCTTACTGGACCGCTAGGGAGAACAGTTTGGAACTGATAGAGATATCCAGTATAAATAAAGCTAGTTTAGTGTAGGTTCCTCCTGTAGTAACACTGGATCAATAAAAGATGATCCTTACTGAACCTCCAGGGAGAACAGTTTAGAACTGATAGAGATATCTAGTTTAAATAAAGTTAGTTTAGTTTAGGTTTCCTCCCATAGTAACACTGGATAAAAAGAGATGACCCTTACTGGACCTCTAGGAAGAAAAAATTTAGAACTGATACAGCTATCCAGTATAAATAAAGTTAGTTTAGTTTAGGTTTCCTCCCATAGTAACACTGGATAAAAAGAGATGATCCTTACTGGACCTCTAAGGAGAACAGTTTGGAACTGATACAGCTATCTAGTATAAATAAATTTTGTTTTCAAATCATGTAGGTTACTATATTTACATCGAGACATCTTCTCCACGATCAACTGGCCACAAAGCTCAAATCGAGAGCGGCTCCATCACTCCTACCACAGGGACGTCTGGAAAATGTTTCTCGTTCTGGTTCCACATGTGGGGAGCTGACGTCGACACTCTGAATCTTTACACTCGTACCCAGGGAACGCTGCAAAAGTAAGTCATGCAGTTTATCTGGCAGACACTGATGTAGTATTGTTGTGATGCTTGTCATGTTGCTCTGAGTGTATATCCCATAGATATCCTATGTACACTAGATAGTGCATCTAATTATTCTGCAATTCAAAAATTGAAGCCATGATTGCAGACTCGAGATATTCCCATGAAATGAGAAGATTCGTATGTTTCCTATTTCTTAAACAAGGAACTTAAACATTAAGTTAAACCTATTCCAAATACATTTTCAAACTATTCAAATGATGAAAGTTATTGTTGTTTTTTAAGCGTTTATTAGCGAGTGGGAACTACCAACATGGCCGCCATCTATTCAAATGGGGGTAACCGCTGGAATATTCTTGGCTTCAATTTTACTAAAAGAGATGCGCTATCTAGTCTATATAAGATATCTATGGTATATCCACACCGGGCATGCTTGAAAAATATGCATGGCCACGGTGGGAATCGAACCTACGACCTTTGGGGGCTAGTATTCCAAAGGTCGTAGATTCGATTCCCACCGTGGCGAGGCATATTTTTCAAGCTTGCCAGGTGTGGATATACACTCAGAGCAACATGACAAGCATCATATTCACCTGAGTACATTACACCAACACAGAAAAAATCATAGTATTGTTAATGTAATCTTAAATTTGTAAATTTTGTATTTTGTTGTACTTAAGGCTGCTCACTAAGGCTGGTCACTATCAAAGTTTCTGTGATCACAGTAGGAATTTTGCATAGGTAAAAATTCTAAGTTTTGAAGAATTTGTACGAAATTTTTGAGGGAAGAATTTACTCAGTGTTAAACAGTGATCGAGTCAGTTTCCTCAAGCTTTTCTTACAATTTCTTAAAAACTTAGAATTTACCTATGTAAAATTCCTACTTTGATAGTTTAAACCTGCCTGTAGAAGTTGTAATCCACATTTCAGATTACTGTCGATGCAATGGAAGTGTTGATAAAATATTGCATGAATTCATTTCCTCAAGTTGATCAATTCATACGAATTCAAATTTCATTTTACTTCCTGTGTGTTTCCTATTGGTCAATCGGTTCTAAAACGAAATCTAATTGGCTCATCTAAAAGTAACAGGAAGTTGATCAATTTTCTATCAAATGAATTGATCAACTTGAGGAAAGGAATTGGTGCAATATTTTATCAACACTTCCATTGCATCGACAGTAAACCTAATACTAATGTCGGGTAAAACCTAGTTGACCCAATCCTTATTCTGAATTTATTAATCCTTCCTCTTGCCTCTAGGATCTGGAGTCGAACTGGTACCCATGGCAACCAATGGCGTCAGGGACGAATCACTCTCACTAGTACCCAACTGTTCACACTCGTCTTTGAAGGTGTACGCGGACGATCATATCAGGGAGATATAGCTTTGGATGACATCACACTAGGCGATGGAAAATGCCCGCCTGCCCGATTCTGTGACTTCGGTGATGATTGGTGTCATTTCAGTAACATAAAGGGAGACCAGTTCGATTGGACACGACAGAAGGGTAGGACGTCTTCGTACCGTACTGGACCATCTGTCGACCATACCACCGGAACTAGGAATGGTAAGTTGGTGGTATTACCTTTGTGCTGGTTGTACATTGCCTCAGTGTTCATGGCGCATGTCAGCCGTGATTCCTGCAATGTGCAATTTTTTTTATTATAATTTCGCCTTGATTGCATGCGAGAAGATTGCTTTTAATCTGACTCTAAAAACACTGCAGTACCAATTTTCCTCGTGTAGTAACACTGGACCAGCAAAGCATTATCCTTACTTGAACTCCAAGAAGAACAGACTGATAGAGCTATCCAGTATAGATAAAGTTAGTTTAGTTTAGGTTTCTGATCCTCACTGGACCTCTAGGGAGAATATTTTAGAACTGATAGAGCTATCCAGTATAAATAAAGTTAGTTTAGTTCAGGTTTCCTCCTGTAGTAACATTCTACATTAAGTTACCGTAGTTCGGAAATACCTCAACATTTTACATTCTCTTGCAGGATATTATGTATTCATCGAAACGAGCTGGCCAAGGAAGAAGGGTGACAAAGCTTGGCTTGTGAGTCAAACCTATCCTGCTGCGCCCAACGGCAAATGCCTGAACTTCTACTATCACATGTACGGGTCAGATATCAATCTACTTCATGTAATCGCTAAACCAATTGGTGCTCCGTTTGGCACCAGTGTTTGGAACAAAACTGGAAACCAGGGTGATGTGTGGAGACATGGTCAAGCCACAGTACGGGCAACAAATAAATTCCAGGTTTGTTTTACAGAAGATTCTGTGGGTCTAGGCAGAATTAATTTTAGAAAATGTTCTGACAAACTTAGCATCTAAGATCCTGGTTAACCTTGATCCATGGATACGTGGGGCCCGTTTAGCTTAAACGGTAGTTAATCGCTCAAAATAGAAAGCAAGTCTATAGATGCATTCAACAACCAAACTAAAAGTTTTGAACCTTACTAGAACGATATTGTTTACAACTACGTATTCAGTGCACAATATTCAGTGCAAAACGAGAGATATAAGAGTGTTATTTAATTTTGACCTATCCACCGTTTGAGCTTAACGGACTTGATACAACTGGCCCCTGGTCTCATTATTATTTTTCTTTTTAAAGATTTATTTCGAAGGAGTTGTAGGCAAGAGTTACCAAGGCGATATTTCGTTGGATGATGTTTGGCTTGATGAGAAGCCGTGTCCACCGCCAGGTATATAAAAGAAACTTTTAGTAAACTTGTGTATTACTTTAGAAGATTTACATTAAAATCGCAAACAAGAATGCTTCCACTTATTTGCATTGAATTTTCATGTTAACAGGAAGCTGTACGTTTGAACTTGGCATGTGTACTTGGCAGAACCAACCAAATGGCAGGAACAAGACAATACAAGATAACTTTGACTGGACTTTAGGAAGTGGAAGTACCTATAGTTATTATACTGGACCATCAAGCGATCACACTACTGGCTCAGCATTAGGTAAGTCTACTGGACCGCCATATCTGTATTAGAGGCACGGAGCATCGCATAGTACTAAGGTGTAGGTATCCGACTTTGCCGAGGCAAAAGTAGGCCAGCCACGAGGATTGGGATCCGGGAAATTTTGAAATTTGGGCTCTCTGGATGGAGAGTTTGTTACAAGAACTGACAGGCCCATCCAGTATAAATAACATTTTTGGCATTTCATAACATTTTAAAAAAGTTACACCTGGTTTATACTATCGAAGTTTCTGTGATCTTTTGCATAGGTAAGTTTTGACGGATTTCTAAGAAATGTTTGAGAGAACTGATTCAATGTTAAACAACAAGTCAGTTTCCTCAAACATTTCTTAGAAATTCTTCAAAACTTAGAATTTACCTATGCAAAATTCCGATTGTGATCACAGAAACTTTGATGGTGTAAACCAGCCTTTAGAATTAGAGTTAAGGTATGTAAAGACTAAAGAGATTAAAAATGATACATTATGCTCTCTCCTCTTAAGGTAAATACATTTTCATTGAAACGTCGTCACCGCGAAGCAATGGCGATCGTGCTGTATTGGAAAGTGATATGTTTGGAGCGACGACAGGAAAATGTTTCAGTTTCTGGTATCACATGTTCGGGAGGAGCATTGGAGCGTTGAATATGTATATCAGAGACACGACTGGAAAGAAAAGGTCAGTAACAATGGCGGATTTTCAAATTTTTTGAAAGGAGGGTTGGAACAACTTCTAGTGGGGTGCAAGCGGCGGCACTGAGCGAGCTTCGGCAGGGGTTAGGCGTTAGGGTTGAAGACTTTCCACAAAATAGGAGGGGTGAGGCGAAATTTTTGTGGGGTTGAACACTTTATAAGAGTGGTTAGAGAAATTCTAGGGAGGGGGGAGTGGATAATAGCAGGGGTGAAGCGAAACTTTGGTGGGGTTGAACACTTTATAAAGAGTGGTTAGAGAGATTCTATGGTGGGGGGAGGGGATAATAGGAGGAGTGAAGCGAAACTTTGGTGGGGTTGAACACTTTATAAGAGTGGTTAGAGAAATTCTAGGGAGGGGGGAGGGGATAATAGGAGGGGTGAAGCGAAACTTTGGTGGGGTTGAACACTTTATAAGAGTGGTTAGAGAAATTCTAGGGTGGGGGGAGGGGATAATAGGAGGGGTGAAGCGAAACTTTGGTGGGGTTGAACACTTTATAAGAGTGGTTAGAGAGATTCTATGGGAGGGGGTACCCCCTCAAACCCCTCCAGTAAATCCGCCCGTGGTCAGTAATTATGTCAGTGTTATATTGGAGTTAATAGTAATTAACTTGTTGTTGGTAGGTTAGGGTTGTAGGCTTGCTAAACAAGTTACCAGTTAGTGTCATTCTTTAAATTGATGTCCAAAATACGAAATTCCCGCAGACTCGTTGCCAGCTTCATGTTAACTGCGCAGACAAAGGGACTTGAAATGACGTCCAATAACTCTTCAATTTCCGACATCGCTTTTTGGACGAGAAAAAAGCGAATACTAAAAGAATAAAATCTTCTCTTAGGCTTGTGTGGACTCTGAAAGGGAACCAAGGCAACGTGTGGACTCAAGGAGAAGTGACTTTGACAAGTAAAACACGGTTCCGTGTGCTGATCGAGGGCGTCCGAGGCTACAGCTACACCGGCGACATCTCTCTCGACGACATGTACTTCCAGGACGGGAATTGCGTGGGAGTGTGTTCCTCCGTCCTACCTACAGCTAGGGTTAACTGTGGATACTTTGGTATAGCTGCTGCTGAATGCATCACCAAGAGGGGCTGTTGTTATGACACAAGTATCGCTAATGTACCCTACTGTTTCTTCCATCCGGCGACGTGTGATTCCGTTCACGTGGCAGCTCGTGTACCATGTGACCCAACGACCACGATAACATATCAATATTACTGTAAACAGAAAGGTAATGCAAAGGATTTATTTAAACAGGCAAGCAGGGTAGCCCTGACACATAAAGGCCACTTTACACTATCAAATTGCTGTGATCGCAGTAGGAATTTTGCATAGGTATATGTTTTTTGCCTTGATCAAAATTTAGGGCCTGTTTATATGGAAGCCGGGCTGGCCCGCTTAGCGAGACAGCCCAGTAAGCGGGATGAATTTCTCTTGTGTTTATATGAGAAAATTTCATCCCGCTTGCCTGGACAATTTTGTTACATTGATATTGTTTTGACAGTAGTTAAAAATAGCTTGCGGCGGTATCTTTGAACTTTCATCCCGGCAACCGGGCTAGCCCGCTTGTGAGTGTTTATATGGAGAAATTTCCATCCCGGTAAGCGAGATCTCGCCTCTTTCAAGCGAGATCTCGCCTCTTTCAAGCGAGATCTCGGCAACCGGGCCAGCCCGCTTGTCCATATAAACGCACGATGATTTTTACTATAAAAATAACTACACAGCGAGATCTCGCTAAGCGGGCCAGCCCGGCTTCCATATAAACAGGCCCTTAGTCTATAGCTATAATCACCATTCTCTCAAACATTTCACAGAAATCATTCAAAACTTAGAATTTACTTACGCAAGTTCCTACTGTGATCACAGAAACTTTGATAGTATACACTAGCGTTAATACGTGAACACTGACGGTTGGTATATCATAAATTGTTTTGTCTTATTTCTAGGTTGTTGCTTTGATAACAGTAGACCGAACAGTATCAAATGTTTCAAGCACCCTCGGCAACCAACACCCTTCCCCACAACTGCCCCCACCACACAGAAAACCACCCGCTTCCCCATAGCCTACGAATGCGACTTCCAAACAGGTTTGTGTGGCTGGGATAATCACAATGATAATCACATCAACTTCAGACGACAACGTGGAAGCACACCCTCCTACAAGACTGGACCAAAGGCTGATCATACATTAGGAACAGATCAAGGTGGGATAATTGATTATAATTGATTATCTTGATTATGCAAATACTATTATTATCATCTCATAACTATTTCTAACACCATCACCACTTCCACCATCATCACCACCATCACCACCACCATCACCACCACCATCATCACCATCATCACTATCATCATCATCACCATCATCACCACCATCATCATTACCACCACCACCATCATCATCACCACCACCATCATCACCACCATCATCACCACCATCATATCACCACCACCACCATCATCATCATCACCACCACCATCACCATCATCACCACCATCATCATCATCACCACCATCATCATCATCACCACCATCATCACCAATATCACCACCACCATCATCACCATCGTCACTATCATCATCATCACCATCATCACCACCATCATCATTACCACCACCACCATCATCATCACCACCATTATCTTCACAATCATCACGGGAAAGTGGAAGCACTGAGGAATGCTGATTATGCATTAGGCACAGACAAAGTAGAATAAATTTTTATTGCTGATTATCATGATTATAATAATATTATCATCACCATTATTATCATCATCACTATTATAATCATCATCATTACCAACACCATCAATATTATCATCATCACCACCATCATCTCACCACCATCATCTCACCACCATCATTACCATCATCAGTCATCACCACCATCACTACCACAATACCACCACCATCACTACCACCATCATCACTACCACCACCATTACCACCACCATTACCACCATCATCAGTCATCACCACCATCATTACCACAATACCACCACCACCATCATCACCACCATCATCATCACCATCATCATCTCGCTTTATTGTCTCATCCTCAGGTTACTACGTCTATATCGAAACCTCGTACAGCTCAACGAACGACACTGCCACTCTCATCATGAATGGTCCAACGGATAACAATGGCAAACCTAGATGCCTTCAGTTCTGGTACCATATGTATGGTGCACATGTTAATACTCTGTCCGTCCATATAAAACCGGTTAATCGTGTCATGAACCCAGCTATCTGGCAAAAGTCGGGCACGCAAGGTGATCGCTGGCGATATGCACAGATACAACTAAACGCCACTGGGACCTACAAGGTTGGTGATTTTCAAATTACAACATTCTCTGACTAAATATTTTTCTGAGCGCTTCACGGAATCGCAGGACCGCGTGTTTGATTCCTGCCAGAGGACCTGGTGTCGCATTCCTCGCAACCACCCCTGGTCTGGTCCCAAAACCGTGCACATATTATATGCTCACTTTGATTACCCACCAAACCCGCCATGAAGTTCAACCAAGTAAAGTGTAATAAATATTTTTCTTCGTATTTTTCCCCAACCAGGCCACTGCCATATGTAATATTTAAAGCACGACGGAGAGCGTTTTATCATATTTAAATAGTGAATACTTTGAAGAAATTCAAACATGACTATAACATTGACGTTTTTGGTCATTCATACTCTGTTTACGATCAACATTAAACAACCTATCGTCATTTTCTAGATTGCGTTCCAAGCCAAGGCAGGTGCAAGTTATCAAGGAGATATTGCTTTGGATGACATCAAAATCCCATTCAGTGATTGTCCACCTTTAGGTAAGTCGTAAATACCGTTCGATTGTTTGGTGGCCACCATGATAGACCAACAAGGGATGACCCTTACTGGACCTCTAGGAAGAACATTTTAGAACTGTTAGAGCTATCCAGTATAAATAAAGTTAGTTTAGTTCAGGTTTCCTCCTGTAGTAACACTGGATCAATAAGAAATGATCCTTACTGGACCTCTAGGAAGAACAGTTTAGAACTGTTAGAACTATCCAGTATAAATAAAGTTAGTTTAGTTCAGGTTTCCTCCTGTAGTAACACTGGATCAATAAGAGATGACCCTTACTGGACCTCTAGCAAGAACAGTTTAGAACTGATAGAGCTATCCAGTATAAATAAAGTTAGTTTAGTTCAGGTTTTCTCCAGCATTCATTGGTATAAAATAGGTAATTGGACAAGTACTGGTAGCCTAAATATTGAGGACCAGTAGTCCAAAAATGGTTATCCTTTATTTCTTTACTCCGTCTCCTATGACGAACATGTACGCAAAAAAACTAGGGAAACTACGATTACATAGAAACTGGATTTCCGAAGGAGAACAGTTTAGAACTGATAAAGCTATCCAGTATATATATAAAGATGGTTTTAGTCCAGTGGTACCTAGGGAGAACAGTTAAAAAAAAGATCTAATATAAATAATATAAAGGTGGTTAGATTTAATTTGGTATATTTTCTTCACTAAGTAATTTATTTTATTTTATTGTATTATCATACAGCTGAGTGCGAATTTGAAACACCAAAGATCTGTGGTTACACACAGGACGCAGGCGATGAATTTGACTGGACAAGAGGAACGGGTGGAACTTGGAGTTGGGCCACTGGACCGAAAACTGATCACACATACGGAACAGCCAGTGGTAAGCATTGTGTCTTCGCAATGTTGAATTGCTCATGTTATTAACGAGTTGTCGAATTGTCAGAGCTGCAAAAAGTGTTCAACATTCCTCCGGGGTAAAGGTTCACGTTTTCTTTTCAAACGTTATCGCTTTTTCAAATTGCAAAATACATGCATATAAATATTGTCATTCAAAACCGGCTTCAGATTCATAGTTCCTACTGACTAGTGTTTAGCATCATAGATATCTTATATACACTAGATAGCGCATCTCTTTAAGTAAAATTGAAGCCAAGAATATTCCAGCTGTTACCCCCATTTGAATAGATGGCGGCCATGTTGAAGTTTCCCACTCGCCAATAAACGCTTAAAAAACAACAATAACTTTCATCATTTGAACAGTTTGAAAATGTATTTGGAATAGGTTTAACTTAATGTTTAAGTTCCCTGTTTAAGAAATAGAAAACATACGAACCTTCTCATTTCATGGGAATACCCTGAGTCTGCAATCACGGCTTCAATTTTTGAATTGCAGAATAATTAGATGCACTATCTAGTGCATATAAGATATCTATGCTTAGCATTGATCAGCTGGTCGATTGCATTGTACTCGCAGCTTTTTTTTACAACTGTGAATTGCAGGACGAAAACAAGTTGTTGGAACGAGCCAATTTAAACTACACAACTTTTGCCTAAAACTGTCGCATGCAATCTGCTTACAACTTGAGTTGCACTCTGTAAATCAAGCACACAACTCACCTACGTTGTTGTAGGATATTTTATTGACTGTCCACTTGTTAATGCAATTTTGTTACTGTATTACAAAAATTGATGTGCGACGGTTTTTTTTTGTAGGTGGTTACATGTTCACTGAGACAAGCTGGCCCAGAGTGCCCGGTGATAGAGCTAGGTTAGAGACACCGCTGTACAAGCCAACATTTGGAGCGTGTGCTCGCTTCTGGTACCACTTGCGTGGAGACAGTATTGGTGTGCTGAATATTTATATCAAGAAGGGTGGTGCTCTTGGTAGTCGTGTCTGGAGTGACAGCGGAAATTATGGTGATCGGTGGATGAGGAAGAAATTAACTGTCACAAGTTCACAACCATGGCAGGTAAGTTGAGTGGTGGGTGAATGTGGTAGTGAATGATGACGATAGTTGTAGTGGTGATGATGGTGGTGGGCGATGATGGTGGTGGGTGATGATGGTGGTGGGTGATGATGGTGGTGGGTGATGATGGTGGTGGGTGATGATGGTGGTGGGTGATGGTGTGACGATAGTGGTGTTGATGATGATGACGATGATGATGACAGTGATGATGATGGTGGTGGTTGCTGATGATGATGGTGGTGATGCTGATAATGGTGATTAAAGTGATGGTGGTGATAAAGGTGATGATGGTGGTTGTGGTGATGTTGGTTTAGGGTGATGATGACATTGATGATGATGATGGTGGTGGTGGTGGATGATGGTTGTGGTGATGATGCCGATGATGGTGGTGGTGATTAAAGTGATGGTGATGATAAAGGTGATGATGGTGGTTGTGGTGATGGTGGTTTAGGGTGATGATGACAGTGATGGTGATGGTTGTGATGACAGTGATGAGGATGATGCTGATGATGGTGTTGGTCATTAAAGTGATGATGGTGGCTGTGGTGATGGTGGTTTAGGATGATGATGATAGTGATGTAACAACTAACAAGTTATCCATCCTTTCTTTCCAGCTGGTATTCGAAGGTGTTCGCGGTAACTCATACACAGGCGATATCGCGCTTGACGATGTTAAGATCACTACAAATGGCGAATGTCCCACTCTCGGATCATGTGACTTCGAAGATAACTTCTGTACGTACAGCAATGATGTAGACGATGACGATTTTGACTGGGAAAGAAACAGTGGAGGTACCTTCAGTATTGGCACTGGACCAAGCAAAGATCATACCTACAGAGCTAAAGGAAAAGGTACAACCGAACTTAGTTAACGGCATAGGTAGGCCGAAGGCTGCAACGTCGAAGTTTGCATATTCTCTGTAAGTTTGCATATTCTCTACGTGCGGAAATTGTTACCATTTTGGAGTCGAAAATGGTAACAATTTCGACACGTAATACAAACATATACAAAATATGCAAACTTTGCAAGACTATCGCCCGTATTCTAAAAGCTCACTCACTCTCAATGAGTGGAGGTTCAATCTGAGCTTCTATTGAGTGTCAATGCTGTTTTTGAATAGCTGGAGGGTTAGTGTCGTACCTTACTATGTGACTACTCGCCCTCCAGCTATTCAAAAACAGCAGTGACACTCAATATAAGCTCAGATTGAACCACCACTCATTGAGTGTGAGTGAGCTTTTAGAATACGGGCGTATATTTTCCAAGCTTTTGCAATTTTACTAATTTCATTATGTTCTTTTTAGCTGTGGTATTTGATTCTCTTCTCTTTACTTAGATTAAAATTTAGTCTAACATGCAAGTTGTCCATTATTTTGTTTTAAATCTGCAGGGCATTATGCGTATATTGAAACATCCTACCCTCGTGTCACTGGTGACAAAGCATGGCTAGTCAGTGATATTTTCAAAGTCAACCCAAACTATAACTGGTGTTTGAGATTCTGGATGCATATGTGGGGGAACAGCGTGGGTTATCTCAATGTGTATGTGGTCACGAATATACTGAAGCCTACCCAGAATAAGTGGTACCGAAGGATATTCAGGGATACCGGAAACCATGGGGATAATTGGATATACCACGAGTTGTCAATAAACAGCGGCAAGGACTTCCAAGTGAGTTTGTTTAGAACTGATAGGGCTATCCAGTATAAATATAGTTAGTTTAGTTTGCCTCCTCTAGTAACACTGGATCAGTAAGAGATGTCCCTTACTGGACCTCTACCTAGGGAGAACAGTTCAGAACTGATAGAGCTATCCAATATAAATAAAGTTAGTTTAGGTTTTCTCCTGTAGTAACACTGGATCAATAAGAGATGATCCTTAGTGGACCTCTAGGAAGAACAGTTTAGAACTGATAGAGCTATCGAGTATAAATAAAGTTAGTTTAGGTTTCCTCCTGTAGTAACACTGGATCAATAAGAGATGATCCTTATTGGACCTCTACTATCAAGCATAAATAAACTTTAGTTTAGGTTCTTTTTCCACAGTGCTGTCATGATGTGCCCATGTTTGTGCAAATCAGTGTTGACTTAAAATTTAATATATTCTATTTCCAGCTGAAATTCGAAGGTACAGTTGGCACAGCACCCACCTACCAGGGAGACATTGCCTTGGATGACATCTTCGTTAGCCAGGGGCGATGTCCATCACCCACCCCCACTGCCACTCCTAGCCCTTGTGCCATCAGGTGTAAGAACAATACCTGTGTCCCCGCCAATAAACTTTGTGACTTTGTCAATGACTGTGGATCCAGTGACGACACAGATGAGAAGAAGTGTGGATCATGCGATTTTGAGAATGGTAAGATTGGTATAGAACTCCCCCCTGAATCAGACCTCAAAATTAAATGTGTCCGGGGGGGTTGTGACATAACCTTCAATAATCATGTCTCGACATTTGGATGAAAATGGTACAATTATTCTTAAGCCTTCTCCCGACCAGCTGAATCTGATCTTAAAATTGTGACCAATGGGTTTCCATAGTAACAATGGATCATTGGTCCACCTCTAGAGCGAACTGTTTAAAACTGGTAGAGCTATAGATTATAATTAATTTATTTTAAGTTTCTTTTTGTAGTAACTGGACCAGTAGCCATGTTTCAATGTACAATAACGAATACAAACGCTCAGAGAGTTTATAGAACATTTTATTTCTTTCTAAGGTCTCTGTGGATGGAATGATACAAGTAGTGGAGTATTTGCATGGCATCGTGGTAGGGGTGGTACTCCTTCAAAAAATACTGGGCCTAGTACAGATAACACCAAAAGTAAGATTTAGTAGAACTGTACTGTATTGTTTTGCTCTGTAGTGTAGTGTAGTGAAGTGTACTGGACTGTCCGTACTGTACGGTACTGTACTGTCCGTACTATTTAAAACATGAGCAGCAGTGTTTTATCAGATATAAAGATACTAGGCGAAGCCGAATAACTTTAGGTCTGATAAAAACACGCACTGTTTTAAATTGCTTCAAAAATGATCGATCTA